GAACCGTGTATGTGTTCGCTCACCTCCCGATCTACTGAGCCGACCTGTGACAGTCTCATTGTCACAGGTCGGCTAGAACTATGAGGTGAGTGGAAATCACTCATCTCATAGTTCTCCTTTAACTTTCTTAATTCCAAAATCATGGTGATTATATTTTATTATTAGTGTTTTTATTATAATTCTTATTGACAGTGTGCAGGGTGAATTATTCTGATAAATGTTTCCATATATTTTTCTATTTTAGTTCTGAGATTGTATTATGTATGCTTAAATTGGATACAGATCTGTGTGTAACTAGTTGCTATTGTAGGTATACCAGCCTGTTTGTTTATTGTTCCTGTTAGACTAGTAAGCCTATTGTCTTCAGAACTCATTAGGATTGTAAGGGAAATTTTACTTTTGAGATACGTCTCTTTCTTTCCTACGGCCGCAGAAAGTGAGAAACTGACACCTTTTTTGAGAAAGTTAACCTACGAAACGTGCGTCAAAAGGATGTTCGGTCATCGCCTTTCATAGCTGAGTTCCTGCAATACGTGTAAAAAAGCTTTATCGGTTTTTACCTCTTGTAAGTGCATTTTGTTTTATCCTAAAATAAATTTGTCTGGTTACTGCACTTAGAGGCTTCGCCTTTTTTCTCTATCCCTTTTTCTCCCTGTATGAGATAATAACAGGAATACGCCGTCGGGCCGGGCGGAAGGGCTCTGGAAATTCCGAAGGAGAAAAGTTACCTCTAATTGCTTGATGTTCGAATCTTTTAAACGTTTTAAATCGAAAGGAGGATGGAATACTAGAACCCCAGGATTTTCGGATAATTGTTCCTAATCAAAGGTTGGTTGGAGACACCTTAGAAGATATCGATCTACGGAATGAAGGGACTGTTCATTTGAAACATCACTATTGGACAGGGAAGTAGCCGTTCCTTATTCTCATATATAAACCTCAAAATCTTCTAAAACTGACTGCCTGGTAAAGCGTAGAGCTAATTTAAATATTTAACCCATCGAATGCTGGATACATTTGATGTGACTGTTTCAATATCCAACTTTACTAGCCATTGAAGAGGGGAAGCATATTACCTGTTACTGACCCGGCTTGGACTACTCTCTGTTGTTGAAGACCCCGGCTTGTTTTGACCTTGATTCTGCCTCACACCTTGTACTACGTTTGCTAGTTTGTTGATGACCCTGGCCTGCTCGACGATCCTTCTGCCTTGTGTGTTTTGCTTCCAGCTTCCTCAGCTCATCGGATCTAAAGCCTTCTGGATCCTCTTCGGTGCATCCGCATCCTGCCCGGATCTACGCACTTCATCTCATCTCACAGACGCAACAGGCTAACCAGCCTTTGGCACCCTTGCCCCTCTGTGCCCCGGCGCCCCTGTAACCAATCCAGGTGCTCCGGGACCGGAGCTGTGAGAGAGGTCGCCCTCGTCAACTCAGACTCCCCTAAGGTACGTGACAGACTGTCACTCACGGCTACCTGCAGAGAGCAGTGACTGTCACTCACGGCTCCCTGCAGGGATTCCCCCTCCCGTCTCCGATCCTCCAGCTCTGACTGGCGGAACGGACGTGGGAGGGGCGGGTACAGCTGGCTCTGCCTCTAGATAGGCAGAGCCAGCGGTCACTCACGCAGCTGGGTGGATCACAACAGTAATGTCGGGATCCGTCCCGTCTGAGGCGGTCTCAGTATACCGCGAGCTGTAGCTCGCGATATACTGAACTTTGGGTCACTGGAGAAGGTTAGCCTATGTCCTCCCGTGACCCTTAAGAGAACTATGGGGAAAAACACTTACCCCATAGTTCTCCTTTAAGTTATTTATTATTTGCCGTAATCGGCTGGAGGCACTGTCTATTGAATCTAACTATAATTCAGACACCGCCCTTTTATTAATAATTCACAATTCACCGAGATTTTCATACCACTCAATCACAACACACATGACACTTAAAAAAAAAAGGTATGGTTAATTGCTATTGGCGAGTACTTGAGGAAAAGTCGTACTTGTCAAAATGCCCCGATGTTTGCGCTATGGTTTTTTTTTATTTTCACTTACCTTCGGCGAGGGAGAGCAGCGGCGAGTCAGCGCCGGTCCGGTGGGAGGAGCTCCAGGTGGGGTCCTAATTTAGCTGGCCGGCGACTGCCTGAGGTGCCGTGCGTGTCGGGATCCTCTGTCAGTCACCGGCCTCAGGCGGCCGTCTGACTTGCCTTGCGGTAGCGCCGGGCCTGTCCCTAATTTAAAATACTTGATTTTCTTTGCTTTTACCTTCAATTTTGGTGACTTTTTTTGTAGGACTTTGAGTAACAAACCCAGAATGAGCATGCAGATAAGGATGTTACACTGACTGCAACTTGGAAAAAGGTGTAGGTGTTTTTTTTGGTGCTACATAGCATGTTTTGTCCCCATCGAAAATGCATGCACATGTGTTTATGGTTCCTTTTTTCACAAAACTAACAGTCTCCTTCTCCTAGCAACACCTACTCTAGACAGGCTGCATAGAAAGATGGAGCGAGCAGGCCACACCATGCTTGATGTGGAAGAAATAATACGGCTGGTGAGGGCAAGGACATTCCTGTAAGTGCCAGAGGCTGCAGCTGGTGCCAAAAAACATGCCATAGCAGACATGACTCAACAGCTCAGAAAGCACAACTACACAACACAGAACAAGTAGGAAGCAGATAAAAGGAAGACGATGCCTAATGATGTCACAGCAGATATTGTTTGTCAAAACAAAAAACGCATTACAATGCACTATTAAATCACTATTGCATTATTATAGTGCACTATTAAATCACGCTAAAAAACACCTAAATATGCAGATAAAAAAGTGTAAATGGAGCCTAATGTTAAGTAACACACCTGTGACCCTACCTTTCAGCCATTACTTTACCTTTACTTTACCACCTTAACATACCTTTTAAGTAGAAATCTTAGTTCTTTCTATCATCATATGACTTATCTTACAGCTACGCTCTGCATGTTAGGGGGTGTTAGACCCTTAACCTGCCCATTTGGGTTCCAGGCAATCAGCCTGGAACTCATCTTCCCTGCACTCTATTAGGTTTGGGTTTGGAGGGGGCAGGGAAGGATCCCATCGAAAGGGAGTCCAGGGGAGCAAACAAAGTATGTCACTGGGTTTCCCTTAATACTTCTGTGCCAAAACTTTTGAGTTACCTCATTGGGCATCAAAAGCAAGACAGAAAGATAGTTTTCTTCCATGAGTCCAATAATTTTGTACTGGTTCCATTACTTAAGATTAGGGATGCACCGATACCATGTTCTCAAGACCGAGAACTGCTACTTTTCCTCATGTATTCACACATACCAATTACGGATACCATTTTTTTTGTGTCATGTGACAGTTTTTCTAAAACAATATAGACTATTGATTTTAGGACAGTGGTGGAGCACCAGGGACGAGTTACAACTCGGTTACAACCACTGCACCCCTGGTAGTTCTGCCACTGACTCCAAGCTGTAGAGGGACTAAAAAACCTTGCAATACATTATACAACAACGAAGAATACCAACAGCAATAGAGGACTACACCAGGACTGTGTGCAGCGTGTCACCAGGGCTGTGCAGTCTCACCAGGACTGTGTGCGGCCTCTCACCTGGGCTGTGTGCAGCTTGTCACCATGGCTGTGTGCGGCATGTCACCAGGCCTGTGTTCAGCCTCTCACTTGGGCTATGTGTGGCGTGTCACCAGGGCTGTGTGCAGCCTCTCGCCTGGGCTATGTGCGGCGTGTCACCAGGGCTGTGTGCAGCATCTCATCAGTGCGGTGTGCAGTGTGTCACCAGGGCTGTGTGCAGCATGTCACCAGGGCTGTGTGCAGCATGTCACCAGGGCTGTGTGTAGCTTGTCACCTGGGCTGTGTGCAGCTTGTCACCTGGGCTGTGTGCAGCTTGTCACCTGGGCTGTGGGCAGCGCCTCGCAGGTGTCGGGAAGTAGGAGATGTGTTGCCGGACCAATGCTGTATACAGGCGCTGCAAAGGTCCCCAAAAGGCTGCCGTGAGGTCCCCAGCAAGCGTGGGACTTCAGGCAGCCTCTTCAACTTAAAAATGTAAAGCGTTGGTATCGGCGCTTAGTATCAGGGCATTTTTACAGTTAGCTATCTCTATCTGAACAAAAATATAACCCTAGAACATGCAAGACACAACAAGTGAAATGTTTAATTTAATTCCTCCTTCTAGGAAAATAAACACAAAAATGTTTAATAATAGTTCTCAGGGCAGAGTTTAATATGCTTTCTCAGTAATGTACACGAGGAAGGTAACATGATATGCAAAAAAGTTCAGAGCTATTTCCTTTGATTCATTTAATGATGCTTCAGTGCAAAAAAAGTCACAAAAGTTAATTTCATTTGTACAGCAAGAACCTACATTCACTATACGAATAAAAGCAACATTTTACAAAAGCAGCAACAATGAATCTTCAGGGATAACTGGTAAGTCTGCATGTATCTGCTTTCTTTTTCCTAGCATTTCGACTTATGGTGCTTTCAGGACCATTTAGGGTTCATGTTGGCTGCCCTTGTCATCATTTCCACGCTAGGTGATGTTATTAATTCCAAGCTGGCTGATGTCACATTCATCGTATAAGGAACGTCACCAACACACTAAAAAATCCTTTTGAGGATCACTAAATGTTCATTTATTCAGAACCATGTCAAGTTTAAACAAGCGCTTTCGGGGGCCGCGCAGGGTGCCCTTTATCAGGCTTAGCATTGATGTCACATTCAGGCTGTCTGGTGCTGTGCCATTTCCAGGCTGGCTCATGGTAACAATGAAGAGACCTACACAGTTGTTCTTCAGTCCACCATTATAGTCTGTGATAGCTCAAAAGTACTTGGAGATGGCCGAAAACATTCATCTTCTCAGTGATGCTTAGGTTGTCATACATCTCATGAGTTTATTAAGGTGAAATGAAATTTAACTCCAAATACTAGAAGGGAAGTATCAAAAATACTGTTCCCTATTCCAGTGACCGCAGTATTTATTGCCGACCTCTAGGTGGCACTGGAGGTGCATTCCAGTTGTGACTAGATGAAGCCTGCTGGGATCTGGAACACAAAAAATATTGTCATTGAGCTACATATTGGTACACTTTAGACCCCCCCAGGTACATTTAAAGTTTAACTGAGAGCAAAATTAAAAAACAAACCATGAAATACATTTCTGCAATATATGCACATATCCCCATGTTTTTACCTTTTGAAGACCCCGCAAGAACAGGAAAACACCTGTTCTTGCCTGCCAGAAATGCACTCAGCTCCAAATTTCCTGTTGAGGGCTGTCAACACATTGCCTTTTCTAAACTAATTGCAAGAAAAGGTGTCATCCCTGCACAGCTGTCTTTTCCTAAACTACAGAATCCCTCCTCCTCTCAACAACATAGTTGGCAATCATTTAGTACTCTAAGATAATAACTGGGATGGCTGATAAGATTATTTGAGATAACACATGCAGAGTGAACGGACAGTTCTGAATTTATGACAGGATCAGCAGTTATTTGTTTGCACCTATTTGGAGTTGTACAGATATAACAAATTGCTTTCAATGGTATTTGAAATTTACCAAAGGGGAACAAATAAGGGACGGTGATTGTATGGGGTCACATAGACTTTAACATATCTAATGATAATAAAACTGGATAGAGTATGACTTTATCTTCTACATTTCTTGCTGGGAGCTCGAGAGGTAACAGCAAATGACCATGCGTTAGACATCTTATATCCCATAGAAATGCTCTGTTTAGTCCTTTTTTGGGCTTATCTGATCAGGCAGTGCAGAAATCAATGATGATTGAAAAAACAGCCTTGAAAAGAAAAACAACATAAATTTATATTTCAAGTCTCATCAGCCAGAACAATAAAAGATCATAGCTGATGGACTTGTGTGTGTTACTGGGGGGTGTACACCCTTCTCTCTGATGCTGTTTTCTCTGACAGTGAAATCTAAGAGATACCTGGTGTTCTGCCAAGGATCCTGTCACGGGAGTTTGTAGCTAGTAGAAGCTATAGTTTGCAAGCCAACCCCAGGTCACTCAGCAGGTACTCACAGGCCAACAGGTGGGTAGGGGCTGGTGAACTGGAACGTGAAAAAGGCAAGAGACACCATGCAGCTGGAAGCAGAGGTGTCTCTGGAGGTGGCAGGTGCAGGGATGGCACACCATATGTTTAGTATGTAGTAGCAGTGGATACTGCTGGTCCTGAGGTGACACAGCAGAGATTACTTTTATATCTATGATGCTGTGCTCTTGATAGTTGCTGGGAGCAGTGGAGCCGCAAAGGTGACTCCGTTAACAATATAGCGTTTAGCACAGGAAGCACTGATAGCACTAGTAGTACTGAAAGTACAAGTAGCAGAGTGGCCCTGGTTTCACTGGTACCAAGATAGGGCTGGCAACACAAAAAGCACTGGAAGCTAGTGACCACAGATAGCAAGATTAAACTGGTATCAAGGCTGCACTGGACACACAAGAGCTTTGGTAGCCAAAACCTAGTGACAGTATGTCATGCTTGAGTTCAAATAGCAACAGTCATGTGATGCGTCATGTGACACTCTGAATAAAACCTGCACTTTCCCGTGGCCGCAGGAGACAGAGGATTTGCTGCTGCTAGAGCATGTAGTCTTGAGAAATAGAGACTGCATCACATTAAGCAGCAAGGAAAGAGATGCAAAGCACACTGGGAATCTAGGAAGTTGTTGAAAGTGATAAGTAGACGGAAGGCAGCGAGGAAGTAAGGTTTGATTGCATTATCAACTCCAACTACAGTATGTATTCCCTAGTACATATGCTGTGACATTCAAACTATTTAAAGATCTTTAAAACAGGCCTTCCCTGACCTCTCTAGCTGCTTTTAATGTGAAGTTATTCCTCCTCAAAAATCACAACATACACGCTAAGAGCCAGTTCACACTACATCCAGCGGATCACATAATTAAAGGAGGGGTCGTGTTGGTGCCATTCATGTCAATGGCACCGCAGACATGCCTCCCGCCCACAGTGCGACCGCCTGTATGGTATAGCAATGCCCACAGTCCGATGAGATTGCAAAAAAATGTGCATGCCCTATTTGCCCCCTCCCGCCCCAGAATGCATAAGGCTTTAATTATGCGATCCAGTACGTTCCGGCCACTAACTGTGCCGGAACACACTGAATGTGGTGTGAACTGGCCCTAAAGTCAGGTTTCAGTTGGTTTCTAACAGCTTACAAGCACCTGCTGGTTGTTTATACTGTATTAGAGGACTGACAGGTTTCCAAGATTCTGCTCTCATAGAAAAACACCATGCCTGTTGTCAAGTTTGAAAATCACTTCTTTACAAGGCTTATAAATACAGCGGTGAATGGGGGTTTGTTTTAAAGTGCTTGTTCAATATATGTAAATACTTTAGTGTGCATGATCTGGGAACAGGTTTACAATTACAGCCAAATGTTTTTGTAATTTTATATATAGTGGAGAAGGGTTAGATCCTCTGATTTTGTATTGCTTTCTGGGGTTTTGTCGAGATTGCTTCTCACCACATGTCCCAGTATGAACGTGGTGGCCAGGACAGTAGGTGAGGAATAATCTCCAATAACACATAATAAAAAGCAATATAAAGCCAATAAAGGTTTTAGCTGAGTTTTATTGCTGTCTTAGTCCTGGTGACAACATTGTCACCGGCACAAGGAAAGGGGAAAATATGCTCAATGGGCTCACAATACAACTAACATGACTTAAATGCATGAAATCTGTGGTAGCCTTCTGCGCAGGTATACAGCTGAACAAAACATATAGAAGTATTAGTCATAAACACATTTTAAGCCAAAAAAATATGAATTAATTCTTGAATATCAGTCTGGATTAAATTAATCCAGCAGTGAGAAAGCATAAAAACTGCCATTTCTGACCCCCATTCTGAAAATACTAGTTGTCTCTCTGACACGCTAAATCCCTTGCCTTAAAACAGTTAAAGGCAATGGGGTTGATTTGCTGAATGCAAACAGACTGTTCACTTTTCAAGGGAATTTTCCCTCAGCTTATTGAATTTGCGAAGTGAATTTTCACCACATTAAATAAGCTAAAAGGAAAATTCTGTTGCAAAATGAGCAGCCTATTTGCCTTTAGTAAACCTACCCCAATGACTCATAACAAGCATGCAGATCAGCTATGACTTTATTGGCTGCATATTTGTTACAGGTCAGTGACTCGGAAAGTAATGCAGCTAAAGACAGCCAGGAAGGCTTTTAGAAGGAGATTAGCAATGGCAGCCTCTTTGGTTCTTTCAGTAAGGTTTCCTTTAAAGTATACAGGTTTACCTCCTTGTGCTCCGGTTTTGTATCCTTGGTGGCCGTGGTGGCCTTGGAGGAGGTCTATCTTCTGGAAGGGAGGAGTGCCGAGGGCTGTATCTTGGAGGCGGCTCTGGGTTGTCTTCCTACAATGTCAACAAACATAATTCTACCTCTATTTGTGTGTGCAAGTCTCTTAATTGGTATACATGGATATCAATATTCATAAAATACCTTGAAATATAGAGCAAATGAATGGAGATATAATATTTAGGAACATTTAATAAATTGTTGCAAAAGCAATCATGATGTGCAAAGTAATGCAGCACATAGCAGTCAATCACATTTCAACTGATATCAGTTCAGAGAATTCAGAAAAATTACTACGGGTTGGTTAAAGTGCCCATACACTGCACGATTATCGTGCGAGATTCGAGGGAAATCCCGCGATCGTTCGATAATCGCAAAGTGTATGGAAGGCGTGCAACCGTTTCTACTGAATGGTCGCATGTCTTCTGTCGAACAAGCAGGCTGGAAAACCCACCAGGAATCGTACGATTCTCGGCGAGTTAGTGGCTTGCTTGTTCGACAACTGCCGAACGGGCCGGTTTGCGCACGCGCACACTGCCCGTTTGCAGTCACCTTGCGATGATCGTAAGTACGATCTGCCTGTCCAAGATAGGCAGATCGTACATTTTTTAAATTACTTTACAACCCTCGCAAGACAAAAGTCTTGTGAGGATTGTAAAGTGTATGGCCACCTTTAGAAAGAGGTTTTTGTACTCTGCAAAATGGCTTCAAAAGTCTAATTCCATCCAAAGCTCACATTTCAGTCTACACATATCTGAAATGCTTTCAGAAGATACTTACATATCTGCAGGGCTTCAGGAGACACTTACAGATCTGAAAGGCTTTCAAAAGACACTTACATGTCTGCCAGGCTCCGTTAGACACTTATATATCCAAAAGGCTTTCAGAAGACACTTACATATCGGAAAGGCTTTCAGAAGTCACTTACATGTCTGCCAATCTTCAGTATTCACATATCTGAAAGGCTTTCAGAAGACACTTACATGTCTGCCAGGCTTCAGGAGACACATATCTGAAAGGCTTTCAGAAGACACTTACATGTCTGCCAGGCTCCAGGAGACACTTACATATCTGCAAGGCTTCAGAAGACACTTACATGTCTGCAAGGCTTCAGAAGACACTTACATATCTGCAAGACTTCAGGAGACGCTTACATATTTGAAAGGCTTTCATAAGAAACTTGTATATCTGCCAGACATGAAGCCTTTTCAGACATGAAGACTCATGTCTGAAAATCCTCTTAGGATTTGTATATTTTTGTACAGAATGTTAAGCTGGCCTTACACTGCTTGAATTCAGCCAGCGGAGTCGGACTGAAAATTGTTAGCCAATCAGCTGCACAATAGACCAGCAGGGGAGATTTCCCTATCCATGTGGGGCTGATTCAGAAAAAAATGGCAGTGTAAGGCCAGCTTTAGTCCCTTCTTGCAAATGCAACAGAACATTAATTTTTACTGATACATTTACCTTTACGTATACACCTTAAAAGTCAGTAAGGCTAGGTTCACACCTCAGCGACACCCAGGAGGCGCGTCCCAGAGCCATCGTGTGTTAGTGCACACAGCGGTTGGTGCGTGGCCCCATTGCTTTCAATGGGGTGACATCCATGCGGCAACCACTAAAAAAAAGTACAAGTACCAGCTTTTTAGTTCAATTGCACGGGCGGAATCGCGGAGGAAAACTGCACGATTTGCCTGGTGCGACTGGGGTGCCATTATTAGCGCGATCGCCTGCGGTTTTGTGCATGATTGCCGCGCGGTCAGGAGTCGCCCAGGTGTGCACCTAGCCTAAAAGCTATGGCAAAGTTTTGATCTGGAATAGAGGGGATTTGTCATATTATATACAATTATATGATTAATATATTACATTAATATGTTATCAATCAGTAATAATACATTATTGATTATATATGAATTACTTATAAATAATTACATTGAAACACATATGCAATTACCTCATTATCTCCTTCCCTTCCACTACTCAGGCTTAGCGTACTTCGAGTGCTGGATCGGTTACTGCTGCTACCTGTATTAGAAAAACACATGCAGGGACCACATCTGTGAGATCTTTTCAAATTTATCTTCATCGGTTGGTACATGATAAAATAAAGGGAGGTCAGAATGAAATACCTGAAAACAGGGGTAGGCAACCTCAGCAATCCAGCTGATGTGGAACTACATATCCCAAGAGGCAAGATTCTGACAGCCTCCTAGAAGACGTGAATCCTAGAAGCAAGGGGGTGGTGGTATTTGTAGTCTCACCACAGCTGGAGTGCTGAGGTTGCCTACCCATGATCTAAAATCTAAACTGAGTTTCTGGGTGGCATAGTCGGCTCTTCTCTCATAGATTTCAAGATATACTGAAGACCCTAGTCACATGTCCAGCAAGTTTAACCATAAAATAAATGAATAATCCCACAGCTCTTCCAAAGGAAAGGAAACTTTATAAAATGTGGTCCAGTTTGATCCTTCCAGATCCCCAAAGGCAATCAATGTTTTGTATAGCTGTATCTCCTGCACTCCTTATAGCATCTGAAACCAGTAGATATTATGGTGCTCGCAGTGATAAACACGGATGGTGCCGTGTATCTTCAAGTTCAGAGGAATGGAGAATCACCAGCACTCAGAAAATATCGTTTAGATCTTGGTGTTCATTTATTGAAACACAACGTCACATGTGTAAGAAAGCCAACATTTTGGGGCCACGTAGAGTCCCTTTATCAGGGTCACAATAAAACCTTGCAGTGCAGAATGTCAGTAGAAAGGGACCCCACGATGGCTTTCTGACACGTGACGTTGTTTCAATAAATGAACACCAAGATCTAAACAATATTTTCTGAGTGCTGGTGATTCTCTATCGCTCTGAACTGAAAGGGAATCACTAACTCATTGGTTCAACATTCTACAATATTAATTTCCTTTACATTTACATTGTTGCTGTTTATATTTTGTCCATTTAGAGACACATCCATCCTTTTATGGAAGACTATTCCACATTGTAAAAGCTCTTAAAGTAAAGAATGAGCAGGATGGGAGACCTGATTTTTCTCTGCAGCAGTTAAATACAGGTTTTGTCCTGCCTCCAGCCTGTAACTGTACAGTGAAAGGAGAAGCAGCTTAAAGGAGAACTATGAGGTGAATGAAAATCACTCATCCTCATAGTTCGGGTGGACGTGTGACAATTAAACTGCCACACATCGGCTCAATAGATCGGGAAGTGAGCGAACACATACCGCCGCTCGCTTACCTCTCGATCATCTTCCTGCAGAGAGATGTGACTGCCAGTCACGGCTCCCTGCAGGGATTCCCCTCCTCGCTCCGATCCTCCAGCGTTGACTGAAGGAATGGACGGGGGGGGGGGCAAGAACAGAAAATTGTGCCCCCCCCCCAACAGACGTGTGATGTCACACGTATCATGTGACATCATGCGTGCCGCCTCCAGGATGGTGTCATGCATGAGCAGAATGCGCTGGTGGCCAAATCCAAAATAGCATAAAAATTTGTTTTGTTTGACGAAACTAATTAAAACATTTTTAGTTTCTGTTTCTGTAGTAAAATATTTACGATTATCCAGTTATCAATGGTTTGAAGCCTCTATGGTGAGTGCTTCTACCCATTGAGAAACTCATGAATGAATAGGAAGTGATGTAAAGCTGCGCCCCCTCTCAGCTGCGCCTGAGGCGAGTGCCTCACTCGCCCCATGGTAGCTACAGCCCTTCTCTAGATAGGCAGAGCCCGCTGTCACTCACGCAGCTGGGTGGATCTCGACAGCATTGTCGGGATCTGTCCCGGCTGCGGTGGTCTCAGTATACTGCGAGCTGTAGCTCGCGATTTACTGAGCTTTGGGTCACCGGAGGACACTAGTATATGTCCTCCCGTGACCCTTAAGAGAACTATGGGGACCTCATTTCTTACCCTATCAGCACGTTCACTGTTAGCACATGAACACTACAGTAAAACTGATTGGCTCCTTGTGCTGCTTCTGCCTCTCCAAGCCTATTCTCTGCTGTACAGGGACTGCAAGAGGTTGATATTAAGGCAAATTCAGTTACTCACACTTCTTGGATTTATTAAAGTACATTTAATGATGTATGAATGAATACAGAGCAGCCTTAATGTTTGCCTTTCATATCTGCCTGACGTTCAGATTTAAGAAGAAGGCACAGATGTATGACTTGAAGCAACTAACAAACATAGTAGAGCTTTTATTAGGGTTCTCCAAAACGTCAAACCTGTCTCATTGACCTGTGCCATCCATCAAATTAACACTAAAATATAAAACTTGTTCTACCATTTTTATCCTATGTATATATCAGAGCAGCCTTAAAGAAGAACTCTGGGCAAAACTTTTCTTAACCCTTGCAGTAGGGCTACACCCGCACCTCAAGAGTTAAGTGTTCGATTCTGGTCTAGGTGCAAAAAAAATAACCAAAGTTATACTCACCTGTTCCTCTGAGCTGGCCAACTGTGACAGCGCTCCCTCCAGCCTGTATCCTACTCCACTGCAGCGATGGTATGTCCCTCAGTGTCCTCACGTTCTATACACTGTATTGGACGTAATAACTTATGGGACCTTAGACCCCTGGAGAGGAGGGGGAGAGAGACTGGAAGGACCGCTCTATGAGCAAGCCGGCTCTGAGAATCTTTTTTGTTTTAGCACCTAGACGAAAATGAGCACTCAACCCTTGCAGTGCGGGTGTAGGGTGGTAGCCCCACTGAAAGGGTTTAGAAACGTTTTGGGCCAAAGTTTTTCTTTAAATTATGAGGGAGGCATATGGAAACTTGAATATATTATCGTCTTTTCCACTGACATCCTGTGCTGCAAGGTTTTATTGTGACTATTGCTTCATTTTAAGAAGGAAAGCAATGGCTGGATGAGTTATAGGAAATTGCATTAGCCAGTTCAGCCAAGATGTCACCTTCCTTGGAAAATGACACTGACTATTTGAAGGGACTGAGAGACTCTAAGACTGTATGAAAAAAAAGATACCTACTTGCAGTGCTAGATGTACTTTCTGTCTTCCAGTCTCCTCGTCTAAGTCCTACTTTTGGAGGAACCAAGCTTGTATCATATAACCCATACTCATGCTTTACCTCTGGATTCTGCCCACGGGGAATGGGCGTTGTGATTTCTAATTCTAAAATAGAAGATGATTGTTAAAAAGATTCTTGCAGCCCGGTATATACATTTATAAAATGTAATTTTCGATTAGATTACTTGCAAATAAAATCACAATGCCTTTTTATCAGTCCATAAGATTGTTCTAAAATATTATTTTACATTTCTTTGTATGGTGGTGCTTGACAATCAGACTAAGAAGTGTGTGTGTGTGTGTAAGTATTGTTTTTACAGTTTACACGATAAAATACTGTATATTTTACAGCATGTAAATTTCTATAAATTAATGCACTTGGTACATTTAAAGAAGAGAAAAGTTGTTGAAATGAGTATATATAAACACATTAACCTATTTAACCAAATAAGTACCCAGCACACTCACAGTATGTACTGTATGTCCCCCACCATTGTTTATTTCAGTACAGAACATTCAGAATCAGACCAGGGAGAGCAAGCTTCTCTATTAGTTCAGGATTTCCTGTCTGATGTTCTAAGAAGGAGAATGATAAGACTAAGATTTAGGGCTGCGCTGGCCCGTTGTTTGCCTTGTCAGGGATGGGCTCGGTTTACACCACCACCATAAGAAAGCAGTGGTGTTCGCTGAAAAAAAAGTATGGCATGCTGTACTTTTTTAGCACAGCGGGATGCTACTCGGAACAACCGCCTTACACCCCGCTGGGCCTGTAGAACTGAATGAAATATCACTTGTGACATTTCAATACAGTTCTACAAAAACCTTTTTACACTTCACTGTGTCGGGCAACGCACACCAGCTGCTGTGCGTTTAACAGAGCAGCTGGCGTGAATTGGCTCTTAAAGTTTCTGTGTCGCTATACCCTTTCCCCTTCAGCCTGCCCATTAGACTAGGAATGAGCCCTGCAATGCTGGTGTGGTCTCCTCTCCTTGTTCCTTTTTTCTCAGTCTTTAAAGCAGAACTATGAGGTGAGTGATTTACACTCATCCTCATAGTTAGAGCCGACGTGTGACATTGAGAGAAGCGACTATCATCGCTGCCCGCAGAGATCCCCCCCTCCTCTCTCTGATCCTACAGCGCTGACTTCCCCTCTCATAATTTTTTTGTCTCATTACCTTAATTTTCTAGTAGCTTTTGGGTAATTGCACATAAGTAAAAAAGGAGTTAAATGACATAAAGACTAAAAGAAAAATATTTTTTTATCTGCTTCCCTTTAATACAGTGTAAAAATACAGAAACATTTTTTTAAGATATGGAAAAAATAAGTTAAAAGTAAATAATCTTATCATAGTGTGTTATATGTTAGAAGCTTTGTTTTTATGTGTAATTTGTGATTACATGTGTACTTTGGGGCCGTCATATTTGCTTATTCCAGGCTGCCCTCCTATATCACTGATAAGGCCTGATTGAGAAGAGTAGACCCTTGTAAGCCCCCTTATGTGATAGCAACTAAGTTAAGTAAAAACAATGTAATGTAAAGTCCCCCGCAAACACGCATCGGGTCCGCCCTATGTATAAAAACATCTAGCGCGCTACACATGTTAATTATCGTCATGTGAACCAGAGTGAGAGCAATATTGGTAGGGCCAATATTCATGGATATCTCTAAACTAATGACCTGTACGGGCTTTTAAAGTATCGCCTATGGACAATTTGGGGTACAGTATTTTGCCCCCGTTTTACAGACGTGTGCAATTTTTAACCTGGGCATGTTGGGTATCTATCCACTTGTTGGGACCTCATTTTTTATGGGTAATATGGGTATTATATTGTGTTTTTTGGGCACTAGAATTAACTTATAAGAGAACTATGGGGTAAGTGCTTTTCCCCATAATTCTCTTAAGGGTCACGCAGTATGCTGAGACCGTTGCAGCCGGGACGGATCCCGACATTACTGTCGAGATCCACCCAGCTGCGTGAGTGACAGCTGACGCTGCCTATCTAGTGGCAGAGCCAGCTGTACCCGCCCCCTCCCCGTCCGTTCATCCAGTGAGCGTTGGAGGAGCGGTGAGGGGGGAATCCTTGTAGGGAGCTGTGACTGACAGTCACGGCTCTCTGCAGAGAGATGATTGAGAAGTGAGTGAGCTCACTTCCCGATCTATTGAGCCGACGTGTGACAGTTTCATTATCACACGTCGGCTCGAACTATGAGGATAAGTGATTTTCACTCACCTCAGTTCTCCTTTAAGTGCATTTTTTACTAACTTTTTGGGTTTGATAAAGAGTTGCACAAATATCGTGCGACGTAAAAATTTGCAACTGCCGGCATTTCATTTTACAGGTTATTTGCTTTCAGAATATATATAAGGTTTTGGGGGTTTCAAGTAATTTTCAGGTCTAAAATGTGGTTTATAACATGTGTGCAAAAAAACCGCAAAAAAATGCCTTGGCAGCAAAAGGGTTAAAGTGTATGTAGACCCTAACAATTAACTTCTCTTATTTGCTTCCTCTTTGGTCTGTTACATATACAATAGATAGTGATTTATTATATCTGTTTAATAAGTGCAAAAAAAAAGCTGTTGATACTGTCAGGAAAATAATGAGTAATAATAATAAGCAATTGTTAGTTAGTATCTGTAGACTACAGAATGCCTTTCCCCACGTTATGGAGAAAGGGGAAGTGTTCTGTAGTCATAACATACTTCCTATCCTAGAATGACAACTCTGTTCTACCATAGATACAGTACAGCGTGTGAGCTTTGTCAACCTAGCACAGGAAGTGTGTTACTGGCAGGATCACCGGGTAAAAAGAAAGGAAAGAAAGCTTAAAAAAACGAACGGACCCACTACATCTAAGGACTGGTAAGCTGCAATACATTGCATTTTCGTTTTTGGATTTAGATACAGTTTAATCTGGAAAGCAGATAGAAGAACAGAGTCGCTGTTGTATAAATTACAGACAGAGATACATAAAAAGATTTACATTTCACCAGAAAAATACAGCATTGTGTTTGAAACAATATGGATGCAAAAAAACTAGATACCTGATTTCTTAAGCTTTTTATTTTCATCCCGCCTCCTGTTAATACTGTCTCTTAATCTTCGAAGATTTTCCTGAAAGTGATAACAATAAACAGTCATATATATTTTTCTTTGAAGAAAATGCAAGGCATTTTGTGAATAAGCAGGCAATATGGAGGGGCGGGTGATGCGACTGGTGCACTTCACTGTACCGGTATAAGATTTTTATACTTGGTAGCAGCTCTCTGCACATAACACACAGCTTTATAATAATAACTTACATACCAAGTGTGGTGTATAAATTATATTTTTTTCCTGAAGTTTGGCTTTAAAAGGTTATTAAACCATCATTTGTTTTTGCATATATCTACTGCTAGCCAGCAGTAGATATATGCAAAAAGATTTTTTTCAAAATAAATCACGAATCTGAAACTTTCTTGGGAGGCCGCAAAGGATCTTGGGGTGGGCGCATGCGCAGTTCAGATGTTTCCCGCCGGGAGACGAGGAGAGACACAAGGTAAGTATATGGAGCAGCGTACACCGGCACAGACTCCGTGGGACATCAAAGAAGACATCAGAGAAGAGGATTGGGGGGGGGGGTGTGGCATTAATGTCACTTTAATAAATTGAGAAAAAAGTAAACAGTGTGATGCATGGAACAATGCATCACCCCCCTTCCTTTCACAATGCATACCAGCAAGCTCACATTATATAGAGCATACCACAAGTTTGCGATCTGAATGGGCACTTAAAGTGAACCTGTGATTTGCCCATGTAGGGCAAACCAAAAAGGTTACTCTATTGCCTTCACCCCCTAACAGCACATACTCATTTTCCTTTGCTCACTGGCCACTCTTTTCAGCTATACAAAGGTATAGAAATAAAGCTCCTCCATGGCTTTAGCAGGGGAAAGACAGCTGAATGCTCGCTGGCAGGAGTGTGCCCTCGCTACAACCAAACATATATAGTAACTCCGTTCTACGCTGAATTAGTTTATTGAAAGTTTGTCAGTGGCATTGAGTCCTGCCCGAGATCCGTCCCCCTGACATGTTTCACCCAATTCATCTCTATGACTGCAGGATTGGGTGAGACATGTCAGACCGGGGACCTTGGGCAGGACTCAATGTCACTTACTGTAACGCCTTGCTATAGGGGTATGTATATGGATCTCAACTGCGGAGTATACCTTCCAGGTGGAAGGATGGGGATCAGTTCTGCAGCTGGGCCTCTGGTGCCCTGTATTTGTATAGGCTGAGAGGGAGCTGCTTCACATCATACCCCATATGAAGATTTGGGAAACCCAGGCAACGAGGAGGCTATCAAAGAGGCTATGGTAATGACTGGAACATCCAGCCCCAAGTCGGTAGAGACGGAAGCTAATTTAGAAAGCTAGTCAGTGTAACTGACCTTCAGCATCACAACTATTATTAAGCGGGGTTAGCGGCAACTAGCACCCGCAGTGAGTAACATGCAAAGTCCATGAAGTTCAGCACAACAGCTAATATCAAGCAGGGTTAATGGCTATTAGCAACAGCAGTGATTAACATGCAAAGTCCATGAAGTTCAGCACACAGCTAATATCAAGCCAGCTTATATGGCAATTAGAACAGTAAGCACAATCAAATGGAGTAGGCCTGCATTAGTTTCCAGATCTCACGTGGGTACTAGTCCATGTGCTTGCGGTTTTGTGGAGTCTTTATCTTAGCAGGGAGACTCATACGGAGGTGCTGTGTCCTGAGGTAGTAGGTCCGGCTGGGAGGACAACTGATTGATCATCGTCCTGCTACAACCAACAGTGGACGCTGATCAATTAGTGAGCAGCGGCTTTAAGCCGACTGCTCGAACAAGATGGGGCGGAGTCATGAGGCACGCCCCTTACACTGACGAACTTCCAATAAACTGATTCAGCATAGAACGGAGTGCGGCTGGATTTTTCCTTTACTATACACTCTCTTCAGCTGCTAAAAGAAATTAAAGGAAGCCTCCTGCAAGCTCCAAAAGTCACTCTAGATCATGCACTGGGCTGAGGACTCTCCCCACCCCCATGTGTCAGGGCTGTGCACATTACCAAATACCAACGTGATCACATGGAATGAGTGACATGCTCCTCCATATCCAAAAGCATTGGGCATGTTCTTTACTCCCAGTGGGCTGAATGGAGTGATAGAGGAGCAAAGGAAAGATGAGGATGAGCTGCCGGGAAGGGATGGAGGTGCTTTAATGTAAAACTGTTGCTTTGTCCTGCATGGTACTCAATTTTGCTCTGCTCCATTGACTGCGAAAGCACTGAGAAATACTCTGAATTTCTGGGTATGGGGGAGAATGTGACCTTCTCCCTTTTCCTAGCACACAATGCTCGGGGCTGAGTGGCCAATCACTAGGCCGAAACACTCTCATATGAGTCAGGGGAGAAATTCATTACCTCTAACACTTCAAGTAATATCATTGCCGGAAATAAGCCTGTTGTGTAATGACCACTAAGCAAGCAATGATGATTTAGAGTGGCACTAGTTATGAGCATGGGCAAAACTCTCAACTCATGTCCTTGACTGACTTCTCAGCTACTTAGTTATGTCTGTTGTCATAGATCATACAAGTTGTACAAACATATTAATGTTTTTTTTAACTTATGTCAATACATACCTGCTGGTACCTGAAGGAGTCAGATCTTTTCTTTTGATTTAATTGCCATTCTTTAAATTCGAGTACTGCTTCGTCAACGGAAACAATACCTAGTTTGACACGTTCTTGTAAAGTAATTAATTCCCGTTGACCTGGGGTCTTCATGCCAGCAAAGGGGTCGTAGACACTTGACTGGTGGCGGTCTCTCCTCATCGAAATACTTGCTGTTTAAAAGAAAAAACTACTCATAAGCAACACATAATCCAGTCATGGGTTACAGTACTTTTCTGAAGGGCTATGGGTAACCGACTAGTAAACTTTGCTGTTAGTTAAGTAATTCAATATATCCAAAAGTTGGTACTCTTTTAGTTAAGCATAAGTACCCATAGGAACTATTTTGACAAATGTGCCTTGATAGTGCTTTAAAACTCTCTCATAAATATGCAGATGTAGATAAATGTTTTTATTATTATAGAAGCAGGTTATTAATTTACCTAAATTGCTAACTATACTAATGGTCCTAGAGTGTCACTTGTTTGGACTTTCCCCCTTCCCCCAATGTACTTTCTGGTGAAACTAAATTGATTATCTATCCACAGAATCATGCCGTAATTGTAACCAGAAGCCACATGAAAATCCGGAAAAAATCTTCTAAATTGGATTTGATAAAACTTAGAAAAATCTATTTGAAATACTCAAAATGGTCTCCAACTCTTAGGTTGGAAGTCTAATGATACTATACTACATCAAAACTAACCACATTCAACCTGAATAGATGACTACCACAGGACCACAAAAATAAATCAAAGCGTCAAGACTGCAACCCCCCCTCCCCCCAAACTGATTATCTATTCACAGACTCACGTCACAGTTTTGGCCAGAAGCCCTGTGACAATGCTGAAAAATCTTCTAAATTGTATTTGATAAAACTTAGAAAAATCTATTTTAATTACTCAAAATGGTCTCCAACTCTTAAAGGTTGGAAGTCTAATGATACTATACTACATCAAAACAAACCACATTCAACCTGAATAGATGACTACCACAGACCCACAATAATAAATTGTAGTGTCGAGACTGCAAAAAAGAAATCCCCCAAAACTGATTATTCACAGGCTCACATGGCAGTTTTGGCCAGAAGCCCTGTGAGAATCCTGAAAAATCTTTTAAATTGGATTTTACATTCATTGAATAATCCAATTTTAGCAAACCTGCATTTTTCCCAGATGCCATCAGCACTTTACTGATTGACTACATGTTTCTTAGAATGACACAAGATGACTGCCTATAAAATGTCTGTAGATTATTCTTATACTGTATAGTTCAGTTAGAAGTAATCAGTTGGCATGTAAATAGTATTTTTAGAGTACACTTACATGTTCTCGAAATAAAAGAGTCCACATAAACATTCTCATTTCTTGGCACTGGCATTTTCGGTTCAAACACTAGGGAAAATGTATTATCACATTATTATGGCTTTACAGTAGCTATAAATACAGTAAAAAGTATTTTGAAGCTCCTATTTTTACAGTAAAAAGTATTTTGAAGCCTAGCCAAGCTATGCTTGTGAAGGAAGTAGTGATCTTACAAGTTGGAAAACCTTGCCTGATCACTATTGTACTTTCTCCTGATAAGCCATGGCTGAGATGTCTACAGTAGGGCTGACTGTCTCTTTGTAGCTGGCCACACAATTTGACTGTTCATATTTAGGAGTCAGGCAGCCAGCTTAGGTGACTGCAGGCCATAGGCGTATCTACAAAAAAAGTGCACCCCTGGCATCCTGGCCAGCAGTAAGGGCCATATACATCTTCCCGCCCGAATAAGCAACGGAAGCTCTGGCCGACATCCCGCCCAGCTCCTGGCAACCAGTGACGTCACTAGTTGCCAGGATCCGGGTAGGGCACTGGCCAGAACATCCAGCCCGCATCCACATCTCCCCACTTGCTCTGGTTGCTAAGAGCTAGGCAGGGAGATGTATATGGCTCTCACACATCTCCCACCCGTTTCTTAGCAACCTGGGATACTCTGGCCAGCATCCTGCCCAGCTCCTGGCAACCAGTGATTGGTGGAACAACAGCCAGAGCATGTAAGATCTGGGCAGGAGATGTGTATGGGAAAGGGGTGGGGAAAGAAAAAAAAACTGTGGTCTCAGCGAGAACGTGAACTTTCGGCGACCCATGGAGTAGTGCCCGCCTTTCAAGTGACGCCCAGGGCATGTGCCATACACCGGATATGCCACTGCTTCAGGCATAAGGGTAATTGTCAACACATCGAAATGTTTCATCCTTGCAAAATGTCACTCCAGAAATGTTCTGTAAACCTGGGGCTTGTTTTAATTTCCTAACAAAGTTGCAGTTAAATTTATTTCTAATACATACAAGACCGTATTAGCGTAGAATTCTAGGAGGCAGTCTGATGTGAATTAAGGTATGGTGCTTAAAGTGTATGTAAAACAAAAACTTTTTGTTAGTTTTGGCTAGAGTAGGGAAGGGTTAGAAAGGAAAGGTACCAGTTTTTTTTTATTTTAGGTTGTGTCAGGGAGATTTCCTTTCACTTCCTGTTCTACACACACAACAGGAAGTAAGAGGAAACCAGTTGACTCAAAAACAGGCATCCTCCTGTGTTCCTGTAACATTTCTAAAATGTTGAATTTCCCATCACTTTGTGTACCACAGACAATGGTCACCAGGCCAAGTATAGCAGGTTAATCTCCCCTGTGGAGATACGGACTACAAGAAAAACTTGGCAGGGGTTATGACACTTTCTTACTCTATCCAAAACTGAAAGAAGAAGTTTTGGCTTTACATACACTTTAACTGCAGTGAAACTCTCAACCCTGGTTAAGTTTTCTGTTATTGGTATCTGGATTACAACACTGACAAAGCATAATGACTAATCATGTAAAAAAGGTCCAATATATACATCTATCTACGTGTGTGTGTATGTGTATTGTGGCAGCAGGCAGATGGGGATGTCTGTGTTTAGGTGTAATAATGAAGTTCTTCCTCTTGGGGGAAGTGCTGAGAGGGCTGGAGGCTCTGAGGTAACAAGCCCAGCTGAAGCTAGCTGGCTTGTTAGGGCCTCTACAAGAAGCCCCAGCATCCTACGAGAACAGCCCCACCCTAGAGCCAGACTGTGTGTTTGGTGGACTGGGGAGCAGGCAGCCTGTGTGGCAACCCGTCTGTGTGGCAACCGCCTGTGTGGCAGCAGCCTGTGCGAAAATCCGGCTGTATGAGAGCAGGCTGTGTGGAAAAACAGCAGCCTGAGTGGCAATCTCCCTCTGTGGCCAACAAGCAGTCTTCCTGTGTGGCAAAAAAACATGCCTGTGTGGCCAGTGGACGTTTAAGTTAAGGGACCAACTTGAAGTCGGTGAGACTGAAAACTGTTGTTGTGGGGACAGAAAACAGTTCTTCATGTTTGAAAACCCCTGCGAGGGAACACCTGTATGGACTTTTCTTTGAATTGTGCGTTAATAAAAGTAGGCAAAGAAGCCCTTACAAAGTGAAAAGTGACTGGCAGTGTACTGAATGCGCTACCATTTGAAGCTAAAGTTGTGACTGGAGGAGGGCTTTAACGTTATTTGGGTAAATGATCTGATTTTAGCCCAGCATCAGCAGTTTACTATCAGTGTTTTAAGGGGATGTACATTGGTTTTGTAAATGTTTTCTTTCTTTAGTATGGTCAGGATAAAACATTTTTAATAAAACAATTAATTTGTGTTGTTTTAGACAGTCAATATTAATTATTGCATGTAAATATTTTCAAAAAGTCTGTTGCTTGACAGAGCTCAGTAGTTCATGCTCAAATTTACACCCACACGTAAAAATGTGGGCGTTATAAAATGCAAACATCACAAACAAAAACTTTCCAGTTAAAAAAATGTGCAGTTGTAGGAAAAAGGATGTATTTAACATGAGCAGTACATAGCTCGCTTAGGGAATCGAGGCACTTGAAGGCTTATTTAAAGAGGAACTACAGCCAAAAATAATAACATAAAAATAAATAAAACCATAAAATACCAAAAACAGCTTTTGCTGCAATGTGTGCTCATGATGTGTCCATCTCTCTGTCACTCTGCTTTCTCTCCTATCAGAATACTTCTTGTCAGCACATAAACTGACTGGGTCCCTGTGCTGCTTCTTCCTCTCACACTTCAGCCCTGCTGAACAGGGGCCTGTAAGAGGCTGAAACCAGGTCAAATTCAGTTGCTTGCATAAAAAAATGCTTTTTTTTAATGATTTATGATTGATATGTGATAGTGCAACCAGGGGCGTCCCGAGGCTGGGTGACACCCGGAGTGGTAACCGGGTGTCATGGTATGCCGCCGGGTCCTCTCCCTGACTTTTCAGAAGGGGGTGACACCAAAATGACTGTCAGTCATTTTGGTGTCACCCCTCCAATGGTGTCACCCCTCCAACGGTGCCACCCGGGTGCGGGCCGCACCCCCCTTGTGACGCTACTGAGGGCAACTACAGTAACTAATGAGATCCCTGTAATCACTGATTTGATTACAATAAACTTTTTTTTTATTCCCCCCTACCCCACATGCAGCTAAAAGCCATACCGTCACATGATCTCCAAGGTGCCTCTTCTAGTATCGTGATCTCTTCTCCTGTCTAGCCGGCAGGGCCGGTGCTCCCACTAGGCAAACTAGGCAGCCGCCTAGGGCGCACTGCTACCTGCCCCCCACCCCCATCTATTTCAAATTGCAAAAGCCAATAGCAGGCTGGTTATTTCACCTGCCCACTGAGCAGAGGAGCTGAACTGAGAGAAAACTTTCTCAGGTCTGCTACTCTGATCAGTGGGTGGGGTTTCAATATCCAGTCTGCTATTGGCTATTTCAAATTAAAATAGCCAATAGTAGTCTGGCCATTGCTCCTGGCTGCTTACATTCACCTGCGAACGCTAGCTGGCAGGAGGATGGAGCTGCGCAGGGATTAGGGGTTGCGCCCCGTGAGGGGGGTGCAAGTAGCTGGTCTTGCCTAGGGCACAAAATAGTCTAGCACTGGCCCTGCTAGCCGGATATGTGTTGGCCCGTCATGTGACTCCACTACTGAATGCTGCCCTATGATGCCTATGGCCACGTCATCAGGAAGATACATGGGCACTGCAGACCAGACCCTCCCACACTACGGAGCAGTAGATAGAAGACCTGGGAATAGCATGTGACTTGACCAGAAGAGGTAAGTATTTGGGGCTTTTCATTTTAGATTTTAGAAGATCAAGTACAGGGGGTGACGTGAAAAAAAAGGTTTTCTTTTTTAGTCTCAAGGGAGCTTGAAAAATAATTGGTCTCTGGGAGCCCCTGCACTATCCACATAGACATTGCAATGGGCAGTGTCTTACTGAATAGACTTTTTTCATCTCTTACTGCACTTGGCATTTCCAATGCAGCACTGATGTAGGCATAGTCCTGCTTCCTGTGCCATTTCCAACAATGAACAGATTTCTTAAATAAATACTGTAAATGCAAACGCAGATTTGTCTGTTTCTCTTTTTTGTATGCAAAGTAGGTAGATAACTATTTCCAGCATTTTCTCAAAATGAGGAAGTGTGCGTTAATGTTTTCAGTTATCTGTAGCTGACAAATATATAGAGCGGGGGTAGGCCACCTTGGCACTCTAGCTGTTGTGGAACTACAAGTCTCATGAGGTTGCAAAACTCCCAGTGACAGACGCATTCTGGGATTTGTAGTTTCACCACAGCTAGAGTGCCGAGGTTGCCTACCCTGCTATAGAGGGATCTTTCTTTTCTTTTTTTGCTTTACATATGTTATTTCTACACATAACTTAGCTATAGATACCTTTGGTCTGTAAATGGCTAAATACACAGCTGAAATACATATAGGTGAACTGTTTGCAATTCTTTTTACAGCTAGGCACCCCTGCCAGTTAGCAGTCAGGCGTGTAAACTTGCTGCATACTACTCTGTAGTTAAGTGATAAAGCATGGTCAAGGCCTCTCCCCAGTGTGTGATTGGAAAATAAAGGAACACAACCACATTGAAGATATGTCTTCCTGTTCAGAGTGGTGGCACTGTGCAAAACAGTAAAGTCCTGATTTGCTTCGATTTCCGACCCTCCCTCTTCCAGGCTGAAGGCTCATGTATAGTCAGATTTGGGTACTGCAAAATCTGGCACATATGTTAAAGTGCATTTATTGATTGGTAATAAATTGGTTAGAGTTTACCAATCTCCCCACTTGCCATCCCGGAAAAAAACAAACAAATTTAAATAATGGGGAAATGGCCAGCAAGAGGCTGCAGTTGGCGTGGGGGGACATAGAAAGCCTGGGTGTGATCACATTCAATTCAAGGGAGTCTTCTACACTCCCCCACGCAGCCGCTCACTGGCTGCTGCTAGTTTGTTTATATTGGCAAGGCCGAGCGTAAGTTTTATGAATGGATGTGATTGGTGGCTTGTTAGATGCCAATCGCATATATTCATTATATGGCTGTAAGTTTTTGGTTGCTGAAGCAAGGACCAGAAGAAGTAAGTTAGAAAATGGTGAGGATATGGAGGTAATTCGATCTGATTGGCTTAGGGCAAGTAGAAAGTTCTTGTTACTTTTTTTTCTGTGATGTTCATCCCCTTTCTCTTTTTATGTTTTTTTTTTCCTCTGATTTTTAATAATGGATCATGCGGAGAAAATATCAAATTCATCACAAATAGTCCTCACTTCGGCAGGACATATACTAAAATTGGAACGATACAGAGAAGATTAATATGGCCCCTGCGCAAGGATGACACACAAATTCGTGAAGCGTTCCATATTTTTTGTGACGAACGAGTGCTGCAGTGCTACTTAGGCGATGGTTGATTCTAGGACCATGATGGTTTTGTAAGTCTATCTCATAACATGATATGGATCTCTATTGTATAAGGAAGTGTCCTTTTATAATTGGTCTCTATATATTGTTTGACACCGTTGATTTTGCACATTTTGAATTTCGAATGTGTTTATTTATATGTTTCAATAAAGGAGAAATTGAGAAAAAAAATGAATCACAAATAATTTTTAAGAGGGCTGTAGGGAGCACAAATGTAGAAGTGTTGACTTCAGCAGTCTTATGTAACATGTCGCCAGCCTATGATTGTCTCCTGAAGCATATCTGCAGTCTACAACAACTCCTATAGCATGTTCACAGCCTCTGACCATCTTCTGTTCAATCACTAACAGCTTTCCGTAGCAATACATTTACTGAATATTATGTGTGGCCTTTGATTATGTCAGGGGGCTGCATTTCAGGCTCCTTATATCAAGCAAGTAGACCACAATGTGTCTGAAGCTTTTAGCTCAGTATAAAATTAATATTTTAACAGTAAAGACATTTACAAATGTATAAACTGCAAAAGGACTTTGAGTTATGGAAACAGCAGAACTTACCCTGTGAAATGAAAAGTTCTGTTTTTGGAAGGTCCTCTGGTCTTGGGAAGGGTACAGGCGGCCGAATATTGGCTACACTTGAGAGTGAAGTGGCACCACACACTGTTTCATACTCTTCATTACTACAAATCTGGTAAGTAGCGTCCTTGTTATTATCATCCTCTTTATTTTCATAAATGTCTGGGCTACTTCCTAGAAAATGCAGTAAAAAAATTTATAAATCCTTATCTGCAGGTAATAATACAGGCATGTTGCTCGTGCTATAATATTTAGAGGATCATGTTTCAAAATATTTTACAGCATATTGATCACCTTTGCTGGTGAGAGCATTATGTAATGCAACTGAAGCAGGCTGATGCACTTTAGAAGGAAATCAAATGCAGGACAGAAGGAGGTCAACTGCAGTTTAACTCTACCTGTCAAAGAACTGTGAATGGTAGATCCTGTACAGACTCTCAGGTGGGTTGTGCAGAATCCATGCTGGGCTCTGCAGGGTCCCTTTAGCAGCAGTGTGATCCTCTTACCTGCTGCTTGGTTCCCGGCTTCAACCACCGCTGGACTGCTGCTGCAGGACCTGGCCTCCTCCGCAGCCCGACGGCCCTTCAGTGACCCGGTGTTATGTCATGCATGTATCAGCTTCCTACGGCACCCTGGCCCCGCCCCTTCCTGATCCGGCATGGTCCCTGCCTCGCCATGCCCCCTCCTGCTGCTTCACCTCGCCCCTCCTGCTGCCCCGTCTCCTCTGCCTCTTACACCGCCGCCTCCTTGCCGACTCCGTCCTTTGACGCCGCAGCCTCCTCTGCCCGGCTGCCTAACTGTTTTGGGGGCGGCATTTTTGCCGCCCCCCTGAAGTCTGCCAGCCAAGGTAAACGCCTTGTTTGCCTCGCGGCAGATACGCCCCTGAGGGGTCCATTTTACTGACCACATCCTTACTGCATGATTCCACCAGTCAAGGCTCCCTCTCCTGACAGGTCACAGGATCTGCCATTAGCACAAGCCCAAAGCACATCGCCACAGGCCGTAATCAAGGCTTTAGTGCTTGGTATCCAACAAAACATGTAAAGCAGCGTTTAAGTTGTGGGAAATGACTCCAAATTGGGGGCCTCATTGTTATTTAGAGGAGTAGCCTTGCACTAATATTTACATTTTCACATGAATCTACATAATAAGAGGCATGGGGACTCCACAAAAAATGTCTTGCATCTAAAATTCTATAGCCTCAGTGTTATGTGATTGCTGCAACAGCAAATAATCTGCACAATCTCCTTTAGATCTACCAACAACTATGTAGGATCTTTCTGGTTGGATACAAATTGAATAGATACTAGCTTAGGTAAGTCCCTATAAAAGAGACAATTTGTGTTGGTTCTTACTGCACCTTTGTACAGTTGTAAAAGTTTTTTGTATAGTTTGTATTTTTATTTATGCAAAACCATAAAAAATATATATTTTTTTTAAAAAGAGACCTTTCCAAGATTTTTAACATTTACTGTGAACTTTAGACCAATATAAAGTTTAATGAAGGTTATGAAAGCAGCGTCATTTGAAAGGTGAGACACTAGAAAAACTATATACAGTTATAACCTTTTTTACAACATTCATAACTTTACCTTCCAAAATTTTACGTATCATTGAGTCTTGAGCATTCAGGGCATGAGTTTCAGGTGATGGAATAGTCCCTTCTATTTTGCTCATGTCAATATCTGAAAGACAATATTAAATAGTTAATTTGCATGTCACTTTGCCTGAGTAGAGATGACAGTAACAACCATTTAAACTCAAAGCCAAATGCAGAAGTGCTGCAATTACATAAATATTCCTTAAAGAAGTCCTTCCATTATGATCACATTCTATCAAATCATATTACACTCTAGATTAAAGAGTGAGATGAAGTGAAACTGTTATCTTCAGGGTCCATTCACATTCCTCCGAGTTCTTGCAGTGCTAGAACACAATTTCATTACTTTCTGTGCCCCCGCTGGAGAGATTTTGTACATGTCCTGTTTGTGACCACAACTGGAAGTGAGGGAAAATCTCCCCAAAGGTTACAGAAACAGCAATAAAAAACGTAACACTTCCACACATTTTCCAAAATGTAAAAATAAAAGTTTTAGCTGTATTTTTGCTTTAAAGTGCAGCTGCAGCCAAGACATTTTGCATTAACTGGGTGAGAAAGGGTTAGAAAACCACTGGGTACACTTCCTTTCACATTCTAGCTTGGTAAAGTGAAAGAAAATCTACCTAATAGTAAGGCCTCATTCACATTAGGATTTAATGTCCGAGCAGGGCCATCCCTATAGTGAGGCAGCCTGAGACGGTCGCCATCTCATTAGTGTGGCAGCAGATGTGTGTGGCGGCAACAGCATCCCAGTTTGCTAAAAGCTCTTAGCAACCTGTGACGCTCAGTCCGCCTTTCTGTCCAGCCCACTGACATCATCGGTTGCCAGGGAGCTGAGCAGGATGCTCTGGCTGGTGTCCCTCCAGGCTCCGGTGACAGCACAGCTCTAATACAGCCCCCTGTCCCATCGCTTCCGATGCTGCCCTCTGTCTGCTTGCTGATTTCTTTGGCAAGACTTAGTGGCATCTTGTGGCAAAAATTACAATGGGTTTCAGACAGCTGCAGTCGTTCACCTGTACAAAGCAATGACAGGCTGACAAGAGTTGCAGCTGTCTGATCTATCTGCATGTATTCGCACTTCCAGCGATTACTTGTGGATAGGAAGATGAGCGACCCTGTACACAACCTGTCTGTATCCAGGGTCATACATCTGTCCCTGACGGATGGCAACCACCAGATATGTGGATACATGCAGATTGCGGTGGACATTTGTGGCTCCTGTTAGCCTGTCATTGCTTTGCGAGTGGCCGCCTCTGTCCAAACCACCTGTGATTCCAGCCGCAGAAATCCACAGACGGACATTAAAGTCCTATGTGAATGAGGCCTAACACAGGCAGCAATAGAAATCTCTATCCCTTCCCTTCTCCGCTCTATCCAAGCAGGCACGACTGTCTTTCCTTAAGGTGTTTATGGCTTTGTTGTCACAGTAACTGCAAATATTTCTGATACAGGTTTAAAAAGTTTGGAAAACATTTCAAACTTTATGGTTATGCAACTGGAACACCAAACACAGCTTACTATTGTTATGGTATTTACAGGAAGAAAAAGAGCAAGGAAGTATTGCAGGCATGTATTCGTACTGTATCCCGCTGTTAAGATGGGCTTTTCCCTAGCTTTCCATTTACAAATAATGGCAGCTTCCTTGTACAGATAAAAAGTAAGCTATACCTCAACAGGATTGGCATGCTGCTAAGCCATTTGGCTGATCCAACATAACTTCATACTTCAGTGAAAAGCAAGATATGAAGGAAATGTTGAACAAATTAAATATAATGATAATTATTGTTATAATTATTATAATACAGGATTTATATAGCAGCAACAGTTTGCACAGCGCTTTACAAAATAAAGGTTAAGAGTACAGTTACAATACAATAGAATACAGCTGGGATAGGAGGGCTCTGCTCCTGAGAGCTTACAATGTAAAAGAAATATAAGAAAAGAACATAACCTTTCTCTGAAACATAGAAGCAAAGCTGACGTGTGAAATAACAGTGATGCTACATCTGTCATCCTCCCAAACTATCATGTGGATTCAGGGAATTCATAAAACATCAGCACCATCATAACCACCTGCTAACTTTTTTTTTAAACGTCGTCATTGCAGTGAAAGACCGGTTTTCATGCCAATAGTGCCTCCAGCGACTGGCTGCTTCTTCTAGGAATTGGGTTATTTTTTGCACTCAGCTAATGAAGAAACTTTCTAGAGTGTTTTCATCCAGTGAATGCTGCAGGGCATACATGGCATGATTGGAAATCATTACAGTAAAGTGTCATAATAATTATTCTATAAGCAATTATGGGCCTTTATTAAATATCACTGGAGCCAGGAGGCACAAAACTTTTGGTTCTCCATAGCATCGCTCTTATGCTAGGATCATTTTCTTGTGTTATTGGTCATAACCAGGCTGGAAATATTGTGACACTGTTTAATGCCCAACTCCTGACTACCCCAGCTGTATTTTGCTTCTTTTTTTTTCCATTAACCTTGTTCTGATTGCACGCTGGCTCCTTTTCCTTAGTGGTGTCTCCCGGGGCAGTGAGTGGTCCTGGATGATGCAGGGAGCAGTGCTGACGTAATGACATCTGTGCTGCTCTCTGCATTAATATCCTGTGAGTGTACTAAAAGGCAGGGGGGGACCATGCTAGCTCATAAACTGCACATATAAATTGCATTTTTAATGAATTCCCAGTTATTTGTCTGTGCCCACGTCCTCAAAATCATGTTGGTTCACAGGAAAGAAAACTGATATCACATTAGGAAAATTGCATATCTTTTTCTGGTTCATCCTCATCATCCACACCCTAATGTGTAGTGATCCTGCAGAGGAATGCCAGTGCAAGCCTCACCTGATAGTCAAGTTCAAGAGTACATGCATAGTTGTATCCTACGTGACAAGCAAATGTATGCAGTGCAATATATCTGTACATAAAGAAATACCACAGTTAGGTCCTACACCTGTTACAACGCATTTAGCGCAAGGGGCAGGAGTTTACAGTGCCATAAAACTAGAATTCATTGTCCATTAGTTCACACGTATTTGTAAACATGGGACCAGTACCGTAGAGAATAAATGATTGTCATTATACAAATGCAGCACATCTAAAGCTATGCCATTGGAAATTGTGCTTACATGTGACTATGTAAAGCACGGCAATATAATATTAAAGCTAATAGATATCCAGCATCAATCTCTGACAAATCACTTAATAGTTATCATGTGTTACAGTCAGAGGTGGAAAGAAAAATTCTAGAGCTCTAGTCATACCTAAGCATGAGGGTAGCCAGGTTATTTTGTAGCATGTATTTAAAGCATTTGTATGCATGCTTTGCAGCACAGGAGCAAAATCATGCCTTTTTTTCCCCCATAGACTATTAAATGGAAATTCCTAAGGCCTAATTCACACTGTAATCGTCCGGCACATACAGCTCCGTACTGCATGCATGGCCGTATCGAGCCGCTCCCGGGAAGGACAGATGCTGCGTGTGATTAGTACGCAACCCCTGTCCTTCTCTATGGGTCTACGCAGCCGTACGCCCCCCTACTCTCACCTCAAGTGCAGGTCCGTAGGGGTGCGTGTTTCCTGGCTTGGACGCAGACAGGATCCATCCTGTCAGCGTACGATTACGCTCACCTGCACGGACGTGCAGGGCAGGTGAGCGTAGGGGGGCGTACGGCCGCGTAGTCCCATAGAGAAGGACAGGGGCTGTGTACTAATCACACGCAGCACCGGTCCTTCCCGGGAGCTGTTCGATACGGCCGTGCACGCAGCACGGAGCTGTACGTGCGTGCCGATTACAGTGTAAATGAGGGCTAAAAAGGCACTTAAATGCACATTTCTCAAGACTTTTCCCCATTAAAGTCCAAAATGCAAATTCTGCCCCAAAAGAAGCTTATGTACTTTTTCAAGCTTCCCTTGACAGGCGACAAGGGGGACAAGGCGATGGTATGAACAGAGGCCATGAAAAACAATGGGATTTCTCTTGTTAAGTTTTGCTGCACCAAGGTTCAGTTCACACCTAGGCGTTGCGGGAAAGCACGTCAAATTTGCATAAACATGCGCATTTTGCAGTGCATTCGCAAAGTGCGCAGAAGTGCGAAACACGCTTGCATTGCCATTACTAGTTAATGGCACCCCAAACACGCATTCCTCCTCCACCTTTGCGTACGTTAAAACGCGCACCAACTCAGAAAAAATGTGGAACGCATTTTGCAGATTCTGCTACATGCACTACTTTTCCGTGTTTGTCAAGTGTATAGGAACCCATTGAAATTAATGGGGACGCGTGGCACACACGGAGAACAAACCTTCGCCAATGTGCCTTAGACAAAGGAACTACAAAATGCTTAGTTGTGAATGGACCCTAAAGTTGCCCACTGCATATATGAAGAGCTAAACCTGGCCATAGAGGAATGGAATTTCTGTTGTTTCCTGCTGAATCAGCTGATATTCAATCCATGGGTGGCCCTGCAAGCACAACTGGGCTCAACAAAAGTCATTTTTTCCATTGACATTTGTCAAGTCTAATTTTGTTGAAGGAGCTGGGTGGAAAGATGTCAGTCAAACGGTAACTGCAGCCGACAGTAGCCGACAGGGGAGGTTACTCCGTCCACGTGCTTTAATGTAGATGAGGAAATCAAGTCATTTGGCAACCTTAAAGTAGAACTGAAGCCAAAACTTTGGGGGGGGGATAAAGTAAGGGAAGGTTATAACTCCCGGTCAGCTTTTTCCCCCCATCTGTGTCCCATTGTGGAGATTACCCTTCACTTCCTGTCCGATAGCCACAACAAGTGACAGTGAGAGGGAATCCTTCAAAAGTGAGGGAAATCCCTATGGTCAGCAGGGTCACCAGAACTAGTGTCCCCATTGGAGCTTTTACCATCTATTCCAGTTCTGGTGACAACTCAAAATGTTGGATTTGCTTTTACTTTCAGTGATACATTCACCGGGATAAATACAGAAGGGGAATCTTCCTAACAGGGACACAGACAGCAATACAAACCTGACACCTGAGGTTCTAATCCCCCCTTCCCTCTTCCAAAACAAAAATTGGATAGAGTTTTGGAACTTGTTTTGTTTGTGTAGCCAAGTGTAGGCAAACATGCAAGTAGGTAGACATGTATTGTGTAGCCAAGTGTAGGCAGACATGCGAGTAGGCAGACATGTAAGGTGTAGGCAAACATGCATGTAGGCAGACATGCATTGTGTAGCCAAGTTTAGACAAACATGCAAGTAGGCAGACATGCATTGTGTAGCCAAGTGTAGACAAACATGCAAGTAGGCAGACATGCATTGTGTAGCCAAGTGTAGGCAGACATGCATTGTGTAGCAAAGTGTAGACAAACATGCAAGTAGGCAGACATGCATTGTGTAGCCAAGTGTAGACAAACATGTAAGTAGGCAGACATGCATTGTGTAGCCAAGTGTAGGCAGACATGCAAGTAGGCAGACATGTAATGTGTAGGCAAACATGCAAGTAGGCAGACATGCATTGTGTAGCCAAGTGTAGGCAAACATGCAAGTAGGCAGACATGCATTGTGTAGCCAAGTGTAGGCAGACATGCAAGTAGGCAGATATGCATTGTGTAGCCAAGTGTAGGCAAACATACAAGTAGGCAGACATGCATTGTGTAGCCATGTGTAGGCAAACATACAAGTAGGCAGCCATGCATTGTGTAGCCAAGTGTAGACAAACATACAAGTAGGCAGACATGCATTGTGTAGCCAAGTGTAGGCAAACA